TGAAATATCGCGATATTTCAGTGTATCGATATTTTCTTACACCCCCAGTAAGTGTGTTCAATACTTTTTCCCTGTGTCATTCCACATTATTACAAATAACTTCATTTCTGGACATTTATGGTTGATTTCTTTGTATGTATGGATCACTTGGGTTGTTACCGACATCTGGTGAAAATTTCATGTCATTAGAACCTCTAGTAATATATTTACTGAGAAAAATGGTGACGTGTTCAATACTTATTTTACCCGCTGTATATGTGGTTTGTGTATTCAGCTCCTCGTCAATTTATCAGTAAAAACAGGGAAAGGGGTAAAGATGTTGGACAGCTGCCTGACGACTGGTGTGCTCAAACCAATGTTACTCTGGAACAATGCAACACAGCTGAATATTGCCCAAGCTAGTGTTTTCTGTGGAGGCAGATGTTTATTTTGCCTGCTGAGGTGGTGCAGGAGTGTGTTATGGAGCAAAACTCATTAGGATTGAAGATTTGGTAAATTATGAATGAATCTGGTGGGRGATTATTATTTAAGCAGATAAATGCATTTATTTGAACAGCAGAAGGGTTTGATTAGTGATGAGCAGCTGGTTAAAGCTTTTGACAATAGAATATTTCTAGACTGTTAACGGAACAGAAGTGTTGTTTTGTGGGCTGAGCCATGGACAGATGGGCAAGATGGACCTGTTTTAATAAAAGCTGTTGAGCTCAGCATGTTTTGTTTTTTGGGTGGAATAAAAGAATTGCTGTGATAATTGGGGTGGGATGTTAGCATTTCTAAAGTTGTTCTTGTTACCCTTAAAATAATTGCCTGCACATAATGCAAACATATAGGGTTTTCAGATGATAGATTTGTCATTTTTTTCACATAATTTTTATCATGTGAAAAGGGYGGTTGAAGGAACATTTATTCTGTTTATCACAGATTTTTAATGCATCATAAATACTGTTTTATTTTGAGGTTAACTAGGACGTATTTTGCTTAATTATCTATTTTTAAGATTAAAGTGTGAGTAAGTAAGTAAGTAAAGTTTTATTTATATAGCGTCTTTCACAGAAATGAATTCACAAGGTGTTGTACATTCAGGGAAAGGAGGAGGGGGAGTAAAGACAGGTCATGCAGCAAACACAGTTGTGCTACCTTTAGACAAACAGAAAAACAGAAAAACTAAAAACCACACAAGGGAAGATGAGGAAAAAAGCAAAAACATCATATTATATCAACACTGTGACACACTATGGTGTTTATGAAAAAAACCTCTGCATAGAGCAAGTTTATTAGCTAGAGGAGTAAATGAGTTTTAAGGGGCCCGAAGAATCCAGTCCCCAAGGCCAGTGCAGCCAAAGTTCAGAATATTGATGGTCAATTGTTCATTCTGTGGGCCCTCAGCTTTCTGCGACATGCATCAAGTGACATGTCATGGTCACCTCTCCTTGATGCATTAGTTAACACATGCCTTAATCACACACAACACATAACTTTTGTTCACACTAGTAGAACTGTTTTTGCGGAGCCCAGCTCTTCCATAGGGAGTTCTGCCCCGGGTATAATGTGATGACGGAAAAGGGGCTGGGCTCAAAAAGTGTTATAAAGTACTTCCTTCCTGAATTCAGAGCCATTTTACAGAGATGATAAATTGTCTGTAGATGGCCCAACTGGTAGTTTTGTATGTGTTCCCTGCTCATGCATAACATTCATGTCTGTATTTGTTCCCTTGTCCTCATATCAGAGTAACTGAACACGCTATATTTTTCAAACCCATTATGAATGCATTTATGATCTCATATATATGTATTTTCCTACAAAATAAAATCTACGCAATAAAAAAATTAAAAACAAGTCATAATGGAAAAGGGCAGAAGCAGAAAGAAGAACAAAGTCATATATCTGCTCCTTTTTCCCTCAAATTCAATTCAAACAATGATAATTTACAAAAACAAGCATGGTGCTTATTTTATGGCATCATGTTGCTGCCACCGCTCCCTATTTGATGTCATCTGACAAAATTGTTTTAGTTCGGATGTGAAGAGCAAAACTGCACCTTTTACAAATAAAAATACAATATTTTTCAAAAAAAATTGTTTCCCATTTCCTAATGGGAAAACTGTGTTTTGAAAGATTATTATTGTGGTTGTTGTTGTCGTCGTCGTCGTCGTTATTATTGTTATTATTATTATTATTATTATTATTATTATTAT